GTACCGAGGAAATGGTTATAAATGGTAAACATAACAAATAAGATTCCTGTCCTCACAGTGGAGGAGAAGTTGGCTAAGCTGACTGAGAAGGAGATATAGGAGGAAAATTAGACAAGCCATGGTATCATGAAAGCCTGCCAAATAAAGTGTTTCAAAAAAGAGGGAATATCAAAAATGCACCTGAAGAGACTGATTGTAAAGCAGCACAAGGAAACTTTTTGAATTAATGAAAATGTTGATTGAAGTGGTGGTTTCACAACTGTTTGCATTTGTCAAAACTCATTAAATTGTACGTATGTATATTATACCTCAATAAATCTGATTTCTAAAAAATGTATGTCATGAAAAACAATTTAAAAAGGGCAGAGGACATGGAAGAAACCTAAATGTCCATTGACAGATGAATAGATAAAGAAGATGTGAGATATATATATATATATATACACACACACACAGATAGACACACACAATGGAATATTATTCAGTCATAAAAAGAATGAAACCATGCCATTGTCAGCAACATGGATGGACCTAAAGATGATCATATTAAGTGAAGTAAGTTAGACAAAGAAAGACAAATATCATATATTACTTACATGTGGAATCTAAAAAAAGACACAAATTAAATTATTTATAAAAACAGAAATAGACACATAAACATGGAAAACAAACTTACGGTTACCAAAGAGGAAAGCCAGAGCAGGTGTGGGGGAGAGGGATAAATTAAGGTTTGGGGATTAACATATACATTCTACTATATATAAGACAGATAAACAACAAGGACCTACTGTATAGCACAGGGAATTTTATTCAATATCTTATAATAACCTATAATGGAAAAGAATCTGAAAAAGAATCTATGTCTGTATCTGTATAAACTGAATCACTTTGCTGTACACCTGAAATTAACATAACATTGTAAATTAAGTATACTTCAATTTTTAAAAATGGTTTAAAAAATGGCAAAGGACCTATTTTAAATGCAAGGAGACTAAAAAGGTGTGACAAGTAGATCCAGTGTACAATCTTTGACTGAATTCTGAATCCCTCTCCCCCAAAGCTACAAAGAATATTTTGGGTCAAATGTGGAAATTTGAATATGGATTATATATTAAACTGTATTGTATCAATGTCAAACTTTTTCAAAGTGTGGTCATTTTTACTGTGCTTATGTAGGAGAATACCCCTTTCTTAGGAGACGCATCATCAAGTATTTAGGGGTAAAGTGTCAACATGTCCACCACTAACTCTCCAATGGTTTAGGAAAAAAACACACATAAGTGTAGACAGATAAATAAAGATGAAGCAAATGCGGGAAAATGTTAACAACTGGTGAAATCTAGGTAAAAGGTCTCCATATACTCACTATGCTCATCTTTCAACTTTCCTGTAACTTGAAATTTTTAAAAATAAAAATTGGAGCACTGAAAAAAAAGAAGGAAGTCAACCACGTCATATACTGCTGAGAAGTCAGGTAAGATGAGAATGGAGACATGACCTTTAGCTTTGGAAAGACCCTTTTGCAAGAGCATTTCAGTAGAGTAAAAGGCAAAAGCCAGGTAAAAGTGGGCAGAGAAGAGAGTGGGAGATAAGCAAATGAAGGCAAAGAGTACAAGTAACTCTTTCAAGAATTTTGCTATGAAGGGTAGCAGAGAAATAGAACATGGAGTTAAAAGAGTCTCTCTACACCAAAAATAATATTAAAACATTTTGTATGTTGATGGGAATGATCTAGCAGATAAACAACTGATCATGGAGGACGGAAAGGTAGGTTAAAAATGCAGGCACAAAGTGTCTGAAACTATGAGAAGGACTGGGGTGCAGGGTGTAAAAATTAGAAGTCACCTTAGATAATGGTGATGATGACAATGACAATGACAATGACAAAGGTGGTAACATAGTGACTAAACTGAAAACAGCAAGACAATATTTAAAGCATTTTTGCTCATTTAACTCTCACACAACTCTAAGAGGAAGATATTACTAATAATGTCCTTTTACAGGAAGCTGAGGCACAGAAGTTAATTAGCTTGCCTAACCCAACTATACCTATCTAGTAAGTAGCAAAGTTGGGATTTAGAACTCAATGGAAGAGACTTTTCTCCAGGGCAATAAGAAGGAAGGCAGAGTTTGCGGATGCAGATGCAGCCAGGCTGCTGGTAGTGGAAAGACGAGGTAGCTCTTATTTGATTACACCGATTTTCTCGGTGTAGCTACTTGGTGAGTTCACAGCTGAGAGGGTTGGGGAGGGGATGTTGGAGATTTGAGAAGGTTAGAAATTCTTGTTTCAGAGAGAAGGCAAGTGTATTTACTAGCAATGGCAGGCCGTACTGAATATCCCTTTGGCATTAATGGTCATAAATTCGAAGTGAATCTACTTGGCCTGACTGGATGCTTTTTGTAGCAATTTTCAACTGCTTGAGAGCAGGCATAAAGAGGATAGATAGCTGAGTTTAACTAGGGTGGTATTTTTGCAAACAAGTGGGACCTAAGAAAAAAAGGGCCAGGGAGGGGGTGTTGCAGGAGAGTGGTGACAGTATGGCACATGGAATGTAGACTGGGAAAGAGGGGGTTGTATGGCTATTATGGATGTAATAGACGCAGAAGAAGTGATAGGGTCAGAGAACTGGAGATCTGTGAGGTCAGAGAGTAGCTGGAGTGTGGGTATTACAGCAGGAGAGTAAGTACAGAGCGGGATGCTTGAAGAGGAGATTTCAAAGGGAGTGCTCTTATGGATGATGATGAAGTCTAGAGGATGACCGTGTGGAGGGGAGACTGAGGTGGTGCAGATTAAAAGATGACTGGATCAAAAGAGGCCAGAGTGCTGGATGAATCCTCTGTGAGCATGCTGAAGTTATACACAAAGGTGCCAAGAGCAGTGGTGCAGACTCATCAGTAAAGGTGGGGTAGAAGACAGCAACAAACACGGGCAAGAGGAGTACAGTCTGGTGTTATAAACTTGAAAGATGTTAAGGGGACTGAAGAAGAAAGAAGGAGAGATGATTCACAAGTTGTAGCGGGGAGGAAGGATACTACCTACCCCACCTGTAGGCTCAGAGGTATATGCGGAGGGGAAATAAAATCAGGCTCTGATTTGAGAAGTATCCTCACTGAGAGCAAGAAGGTGAAGGGACTGTTCAGAAAAGAGGCTGAGGATGCGGCACAATATTTGACACATGGTATATACTCTCACTATTTCTTGAGTTTGAGTCTTAACTTTTCTAATAGTTTACTACATCCTAAAAAGGAAAACAAAACAAAATTTATTTATAAGGAAATCCAAACCAGAGTAAAAGGGAAATGATCCTCCAATTATTGTATTTTTCAAATCCATGAAAAGGCTCATTTTCAAAAATCAGGTCCCCTGGTTAAAATAACCAGAGTCAAACAGCATCTTATTGTTCTTGGCTTAATACGAACAGATAGCTCACTGTTATAAAATAAAACCAGGCATTCTCTTGCAGAAGAACTCAAGATCAGAACAACAAAATTCAGTGAATTTTGCCTTGTTGAAGCTTAGACAATAGTCTTTCTGGGCATAAGCTGATCAGACTTTAAATCTATTATGGTTCAAGTAGAGAAACCCAGGTACCAATAGAATAAGAATAAATAATATTTCTGAAATGCATTCTTCAGAATATAATATAATACACTTTGGAATATACTGTCCCCCTTGAAGTAGTAATATGATTGCTCCATGAAAGCTTCAGAAGTGTGCCTTTATTGAAGGAAGATAAGTTCTCAATGGGTTTTTTCCCCCCAAATGTTCTAAATGTCTTCGTAAAGACTGAGAAAATGTCATAATTCTTACATGCTTTAACAAAGAAGTTTTATGTCTATAAAGTTGCCTCCTAAGCATTTCAAATAAGCTGTCTGTATACAGCTAATTGGAATTCCATACTCCTCCATGGTCTTAAAACACATAATGAATATCTAATATTTCTTCTCTAAGACTAAATTTTTTTGGAATTTATCTAGAATCCCAATGTTGTTTTGTAATTGTTTTTTGGTGACTTACTCATAATCATCAATCAGAATGTAGACTAGTTCAACAGCAGGTTAGTTCAAAGGGCTTTTTATTTTCACCTTACTCATTAAGCTATGAGGTTCTCATTACTAGACAGAACATTTACCCGTAGTTCTATTACACCAGATAAGTGGATCTGAGAAGGAGAGCCAATCCCCACTTTTATCAGAGCCTAATATGATGTGTCAGAGAAAGCAATCAGCCAACAACATCTACAACACACAGCTACCATTTCTCTTTTCCATGAAGAACACATCTGAGAGTAACTGCTTCTTTACTAAATTTCTTTAGTACTTCTATTCCTTATGAGGCTTTCTTTTTGGAGTACAGCGATTTTTATGCTTGCTTTATTTTTCCTTCTAGAGTATAAGCAAGTACTCTATGCCTTAACATCTTCAGAGACTCTCAAAGTATTATAGTATTTGTATTTTACTTAATACTCAGCACTAGTGGGAGAACAAAATGCAACAGTAATACTATCAATGCCAAATTCATTAGTATTCTGGATTAAATATAAATAGGTTTCTGAGATTTGGTCTGGGAATCATATCACCAATTATGAAATACAGGAAACTGCTCTGAGTTCCAAAAAAACCTAACTTATAGATTCACTCTCAGAGAACACAACAGGGACTTCTTACACAGCATGTATAACCAGAAAGGCCCCAGACAACAAGTCTATAGATCAGTAAAGATGTTAACTTTTCCAACTATATAAATAAAAGAGAATGAATTTTTTCTCTAAAAATATAGTAATTTTAAAAGTAACTTTACAATAAATCTTTTAACTTTTAAAAAAGAGAACAGGAATTTAAAAATAATATTTTGTGAAAACAATGGAAAAATATTTCAAAATTAATGCATGTATAAAACACCTGATCTACTGAACATTTTAAGTGTCTTTTAGTTAATCCAAGAAGCTTGGTTAAAGAAAGCAATCTAATGTCATTCACAAATCAAAATTCCAACTTACCATTTATGTTTATTGCTGGTAATACAATTGACATCTTTGGCCTTGTGGTCTTGTTATGGGTGGTAGCTGGTAACAGCAGGTGATCCTAAGATTAACAAAAGAACAGTCTGTTACACATAACAATTGGCTTAGTCCTGTAACAGAACAAATTCAGAGTTTCTAAGATGCCAACATTTCATTGTGATCATTAAAAAAAAACAGTTTTTGTTTGAACTGAGTTTTGGGATAATTAACTACAAATCATTTTATGATTCACTTATTCATAATGCAATAAGCAATAAGCATTATGAAGTACTGAGTGTCTATCATTACCAGGTACTATGCAGCATTCTTGCAATACTCCTATGTCTGATAACATATGCTGCGGTACGCTATAAAGAATATTGGTCAAGCAATCAGAATGGTGGGATTTTAATTCCAGCTCTTCCACTGAACAGCTGTAGAAACTTGGTCTGTTTCTAGTCCTGTAAAATGAGGAGGCTAGTCTAGATAATGTCACAAGACACTGAAGTTATCTATCTGACAGAGTCATTTTAAACTTCTTTTCAAAAGAAGAGGAATGGGGGTGGGCAGCGTCAGGGAAAAAAAGGAATGTTTCCCCCCTAAAAATTCTAGTCCCAAATTATTGATATATAAAAGGAAGATTCTAATTGAAGCAGGGCCAGGATCTAAAGCCTTGCCTGCTTAGCCTCCTCCTCTCTCTTTGAAGTAGCTACAGTGATTTTTTTTGTTTGTTTGTGTGTTTGTTTTTAGTAAGCAACAGGTATACATGAAAGAAAATGTGTAGTTCTTGCCCTCAAAAAGCATACAGTTTTGTGGAAGGATTAAAAACATCATAAATGCATGCCTAGCACAATTATATAGTTCTAAATTTAATACTGCCAATGACTGGTCATCTATAAGTAACCCATGGCATCTGAGGTTTCTGGTTTCCAACCACACAAATGCTGAAGTAAGAACGAGCCAAGAGGGGTTTGGCTTCAAAAAAGGGTGTATGAATGTTTTGGAAAAGGTATGTACATCTGTAAGGTATTCCAAAGCTGATTACAAATGACTTATGACTTTTATATAAGCTACTGTTTTCAATACTTCATCTTTTTCCTAGCAAAAACATGGGACTGGTCACAACAAAAGGAAAAAAAAGACAAAAGAAAAAAATGTATATTAGTGTTTCCATTTAAAGGAATATAGTTAAACTGAGATAAAGCTGACCCTCAGTCTAACCCCTCTTGCTTTCTTTTCTTACTCCTTTGTTCATCTGTTTCACCAAACTTGCTATATGGAAGGAGTCATCAAAAAGTAGGATTTGACACAGCTGAGAGTGATAAAAATTCAATGCATCTTATTAGTTCAAAGTCATTGTGATTATGAAATGTGATTATCAGCAAAGCTAAGAAAAAATCTAGACTGTGAAAAAAAAAACCTGAAATTAATGTATATGAACAGGACTGCATAGAAAACATTTCCAGTAACTGCTTCTACTTTGTCTAATTCAAGGCAACATCTCCATGAGAACGTGTTTTTTTTTAAAAAGAGGGGAAAGGATGAGTGAAATTGTTGTTAGAATTTCAACATTGCAGCTAAGGAGGTTTTTGGGGTTTTTTTAAAGTGCATTGTTAGACACAAAGATCACATGTTTCTGAGAGTAAGATAACATATGATAGCCAAGACAAAACAAAATTTGCTGATCTTCATGCCATGAAAACTATAAATAGCTAAACTTCTGTAATTAAAATACTGCATCAAGATCCCCAAAATCGAATGAGAAAACAAACCAACAAACTTACAAGTCCCAAATTAAGGCTATTGTAAAAATAAACACACTTAGATTCCATTGGTTATGGGTTGAGGTCAGGTTCAGACTTGAGTTTCCTGCTAAGATCTAGATGTCATACTGTATGTTTTTAAACATGATTTTCCGGACATAATGCCTCCTATGTTCTCTCTTCATTAAATTTCAAACAAAGTAGTTACTTTTGCAGCAGAAAACTAAAAAACACATTATTATTTGTGAAAAAGAAAAATCACATCTTGAATGCATAAAAACTATTAAGAGTTAAGCTGCCTTACCTCTAATAAATAAAGGTTTGCAAACAGGAGGGAAAACCTATAATTTAAAAAATGCTAGTTTACCAAAGTGGCCCATACACTAGAACTACAGAGAATCAAAGCTGGTATACTACAAACTCGAATTGTGCTTATTTTATATTAAAAATAATTTATACACACACACACACCTAGGGCAGTAGAGTTGCTTCATTTAACATTTACTTTCACTTCCTCAAATTAAATGTTTCTTGCCACAGTGAATCTACAATCATTTTTTTCTCTCCAACTGTGTTCATCTCACTCCCTTTTATGGTCTTTCATTCATTCTATTAGTGACATCTCCAGAAACAAAGGAGTCAATCAACAAATACTTATTGACTTCTTGTCATTCATTAAACAAAACTTACTAAGCACAGTGACCGACCATGTATTCAGCACTGTGCTACAGAGAATATTTTCAGGTTTTTATTTTGTTAGGGAAAGAATGATTTTTGTGCAGAAACAGTCATTTATGCCCAATATCTGCTTTCCCTTCTATAACATTAGAATAGAAATAGGACCTTCCACATTTAGTTGAGCAGAAAGCCACTCAGAATAAAGACTATAATCCCTAGCCTCTTCTGCAATCATATTAAGCCATACATTCAAGTTCTGGTCAATGGACTATAAGGAGAAATAGTGCATGCAACTTCGTCAAGGTGGTGATGGTGGGAGGCAACCTTCCTCCTTCCCTTTTCTCCTTCTTGCTGTCTAGAATGCAGATATGACTGCTAGAGCTGGAGCAGCCACTCTGGGCCATGAGATGGAAACTGCAATCTGAGGTTTACAGAGCAACAAGATAGAAGGAGTTAGGGATCCTGATGATCGGGGAGCTACCATATAGTCTCCAGAACTTACAAAATGAGAGAGAAATACAATTCTAATTGGTCTAAGCCACTATTATTTTAGATTTTCTGTCATGCATAGCTCAACCTAAACCTAATTGCTAGTTATATTATATATTTGTGAAATAACACTAACAGTATTTACTCAAGAGGAATCTCAATAAGGGTTAATATAATCAGAGATCATTTTACTCTTTTTTTTAAACAACATTAAACCCCCCATATTTATTATACAGCCTTCTTGATATATACCACCCTTCTCACTTTTACTTATTTATTAAAGAACTTGTACAGGAAATTCAGTCCTGGAAAAGGAGAGGTGCATTCAATTAGATGAATCTTAACAAAACTCTTTCTTTCCTATTAAGTCAGTTAATATAATCCAACTGCAACAAAGATGAAGCTATTCAAAAATAAAAAGGAGAAGTAGGAAAAGATGTTGCCACAGAGATAAATGTGATTTATTTTGGCACTGTCATTCAAAACTATGTCACTAACTTCAAGACATCTTCAAATGGACTCCTGAAAAGTCTTTAAGGACTGAGATACAAAGGGATATCTTTAGGGAGGAAACTAAATGGACAGATATTATAATAAACACTTTGTCATTTTTATTCCCAGAGGAACTTAGAGAAACACTGGTGGGAAAACACCAAAACATTTCACTGTGAGAATAAAGTATCAGTTTTCCAATGCAATGCAATTTTGTGCATGAGAAAATACACTATTTTCATATAATTCTCTCAATCCCCTCTTCTAAGCACTTTGTTAGAGAAAGAGAAAATATTAGTGCATAATAGAGCATCCAAAGTTATCAGTTTCTTCTCTTTTTAAGAGAGCTAAAGCATTAGAGACTAACTTATCAAAAAAATAGTGCCACATTTTGTTCAGCTGAAGGTTATGATGGTAAAACACAATAAAATTGAGGCCCTACTAAGTGTTGTCAAATGTTGATTCTACATATCTGTGTCAAGTAGAAACTGACCTCAACTTAAACTGACTAACCAGTTTAAACAGCTTTTCCCATTCCTCCTCTAAAACTTACTGACTGATGCCCCTAGCACACTGAACATTTATGACTAGTTGTGTATTTTTCCTAAACTAAGCCTTCTCAAACTTCTGCTAATTGTATTTGTGTAATTTAATAAAATACTACATCGCTGATAAAATATAGTGTGAAAAAAAAGAGCGCACTGAGTATAGTTTATGCAAGAAAGACAACATGGGACTCTGCTATGTCTGAACGCAAAAGGAATTGGACCTACTTCAAAACTTGGCAAATGCATGCACATTTATGTAAGTAAATGAAATAAAATATTCAAATATTATTAATTTTTAGAAAATGATCCCCTACATTAACTAATTTTGTTAATTAATTAACAGATCACCTACTAGTCTCTGTTGTACTAGGTAAAACAGCTTTTCCTGTATTAGGAAACTCTGAGTCAAGGCTGGAGCCCTTTATTTTTGAGAGAAAGGAATGTATTTAATATCTAAGGATGTCCCCTAGGAATGAGGGAATCTCAGGCTGCACTTGTGACGCTAAGCAGCTTTCATTTAGATCAACATGGACCTCTATTAGTCAAAAAGTTTTGCAAATCAGGCCCATATTAATAACAATGGCCTCTTAACATTTTATATTTGATCCATATACACTGGATTACAGAGATGAGGTTAGTTTTCCAACAAAGAAAACTGTCAAAACCAGATCCAAACAAAAAGAGCATCTATCCTCATTTCAAAAATAGGTTTGGTATGATACATATAAAAATTGTTAAGAGTAAATTCTAAGAGTTCTCATCATAAGAACTTTTTTTTCCTTCTTTTTCTTTTTATTGTATCTATGTGAGATGATGGACACTAACTAAACTTACTGCAATCAGCAGGGAGGGTATAGCTCAATTAGTAGAGTGCATGCTTAGCATTCATGAGGTCCTGGGTTCAATCCCCAGTACTTCTTCTAAGAATAAATAAATCTATCTACCCCCTCCCTGCCAAAACAAAAACCCAAAAACCAACTTACTGCAATCATTTCACAATATACGTTAAATCAAACCATTATGTTGTACACATTAAACTTATACAGTGATGTATGTCAATGATATCTCAATAAAACTGGAAAAAAAGAAAAACATAGCTTTGTATTAAATTT